AGTAGGGGACACCACACTTGGAAGGATGACGGTTTGTGGGTGACGGAAGGTCCGCCGGGGAGTCTTGGCCAGCAAGAGGGTCCCGACCTGAAAGAGGGGGTGCGCAGAAATAAAGAGAGACAGAAAAGCTGGGGTCTGGAGGACTGAAAAGGCAACGCCTAAACAATGAATTTATTTTTGTCCAGGGTCTTGATATATACCTTAAGATCAAAGGTGTTTATATAACCAACAATAAGAGGAATGGAAATTTACAAGATATAAGATCATGAAAACAATCTTAACTATGACATTCAAGGATCATAAAAGTGGGCAGGTGGTATGCTTTATCTGTTTTTACCAAAACACACTTGTGAATAACAATACCCAAGAGTCACAAGCTAAGCCATAAAGTCATTATCTAGGGTTCAAGGTGGTCATGCGGATAAGGTAAAACTTCTTGAAAAGTAAAGTCATAAAGGTCATACAGAGGCCTAGTGGAGACATAATGTCTGACAAAACCACACGACCCTTGCCCAAGCGGCATTGTAGTCAGAAGTAGAAACCTTTGCAACATCAGTCATTTCTTAGTTCCTTCTTTCCCGTAGCTTGACTGCCTCTAGCAGGAAACTGTGTTTTGGGCTCAAGCTCACTGTCTGGTGAGGCCCACACATTAGGGGGCCTTACACGGGAGCGATCCCCACAACAGCTGTGTCAGGACACTCTTGCTTCAGTTACACACGTGTATGTGTGTACGTGCTGGGCAGCAGCGTGAAGTCTTTGTCTCATTGTAGGGTCAAAAAATGCCCCTGGTAACAATGCCAGGGGTTGATCATCCCATGTTAAGTGCTCTTTAAAAAAACAGGTGCCGGGTGTGGTGGCTCACGCCTGTAATCCCAGCACTTTCGGAGGCCAAGGTGGGTGGATCACTTGAGGTCAGGAGTTCAAAACCAGCCTGTCCAACATGGTGAAACCCCATCTTTAAAAAACAAAAAAAAACCCAAAACAAACAAAAAACAGGTAGTTATGGAGGAACTTACCTTGATAGAAATGGAATATTGACCTTTCCAGATGATGATGCTACTCACTAGTGCCAAGAAAATAAAGCATGAAAAGCTTTTTTTTTCCCCCTTAGTTACATCATGGAGAAGGCAGATCTTGTCATAGTTGGTGCTGAAGGAGTCGTTGAAAACGGAGGAATTATTAACAAGGTAAGAGCCTCAGTTCTCCCCAGTTCCCTACTTAAGGCTTGAAGGTGTCTTGCTGACCTAGGACCCACAGCAGTGTTGTTCCTGATGGTTCATTCTAATCCTGCTTCGCTTCAGGACTTCATCAGAGCACTGAGTTGTTACCCAGTTCCCATAAACCATTGCAGTGGTCAGTCCAATTTTGGTCAGATTTTTCTTTTTTTTAGATTGATCTACATAAATGAAAACTATGGATTTAGTTGGGTGTGATGGCTCATACCTGTAATCCCAGCAATTTGAGAGGCCGGGGTGTGAAGATCACTTGAGGCCTTGAGTTCAAGAGCAGCCTGGGCAACATAGTGAAACCCCGTCTCTACAAAAAATTAGAAAAATTAGCTGGGCATGGTAGTGCTTGCCTGTAGTTCCAGCTGCTCAGGAAGCCGAGGCAGGAGGATCACTTGAGTCCAGGAATTTGAGGTTGTAGTGTTGTGATCACACTACTGCACTCCAGCCTGGACGATGGTGAGACCCTGTCTCAGGAAAAAAAAAAAAAAAAAAAACTTTATTTGTTTTTACAAAAAATGGGCTTGAATTGGAATTGGGGTTTTGTCTGTTTTTTGTTTACATTTATTATCCTTTATGTGTATATACATTTATGTATGCACATCTATATACACAGAATAGATACACAAATGTTTTACATTTTTAAAAAAATACATTCATATGTAAAGTATATATATGTAAATATAATATATAACATATATATTTATTATATATTTTTTCAGACAGCCTTGCACCGTCACCCAGCCTGAAGTGCACTGGCACGACCTCTGCTCACTGCAACCTTCACCTCCAGGGTTCAAGTGATTGTCCTGCCTCAGCTCCCAAGCAGCTGGGATTACAGGCGTCTGCCACCACGCCCAGCTAATGTTTTGTATTTTTAGTAGGGATGGGATTTCATTATGTTGGTCAGGCTAGTCTTGAACTCCTAACCTCATGATCTGCCCACCTCAGCCTCCCAAAGTGTTGGGATTACAGGCGTGAGCCACCGTGCCCGGCCAATATATATATTTATAAATAGAGACAAGTTCACTCTGTTGCCCAGGCTAGAGTGCAGTGTAATGAACTCCTAGCCTGAAGCAATCCTTGCACTTCCGAAAGTGCTAGGATTACAGGCGTGAGCCTGTAATTACAAATGGCTAGCCTGTCATTTGTTTTCATTGTAATTGAGCACACTTGACCTCAATTTTTGATTACAATTTCTTTATACATTGTTTAATTTAGACAGGTTTCATGAAAGCTTTTTTTAGTTAAAATATATATAACAAGGCACAGTGGCTCACGCCTGTAATCCCAGCACTTTGGGAGGCTGAGGCAGGTGGATCACCTGAGGTCAGAAGTTTGAGACCAGCCTGGCCAACAAGGTGAAACCCTGTCTCTACTAAAAATACAAAAAAAAAAAAAATGCTGGGCACGCCTGTAATGCCAGCACTTTGGGAGGCCGAGGCAGGCGGATCACAAGGTCAAGAGATTGAGACCATCCTGGCCAATATGGTGAAATCCCGTTTCTACTAAAAATACAAAAAAAATTAGCTGGGCGTGGTGGCACGAACCTGTAGATCCATCTAGTCTGGAGGCCAAGACAGGAGAATCGCTTGAACCCAGGAGGCAAAGGTTGCAGTGAGTGGAGATCACGCCACTGCATTCCATCCTGGCAACAGAGTGTGAGACTCTGTCTCAAAAAAAACCAAAAAATTACCGGGCTTGATGGTGAGCACCTGTAATCCCAACTACTTGGGAGGCTGAGGCAGGAGAATCACTTGAACCTGGGAGGCAGAGGTTTGCAGGCAGAGTCTTGAGTCACATGGTAACTGCGTATTTAACTTTTTGAGAAACTAATGATTTTCCAGAGCAGCTGTACTACTTTACATTCCCACCAGCAAAGCACAAATGCTCCAGTTTCTCTACATCCTTGTCCACACTTGTTCTTTTTTATTTTTTGAGATGGAGTTTCACTGTTGTTGCCTAGGCTGGAGTGCAGTGGCACAATCGTGGCTCACTGCAACCTCCACCTCACGAGTTTAAGCAGTTCTCCTGCCTCAGCCTCCTGAGTAGCTGGGATTACAGGCATGTGCCCCTATGCTCAGCTAATTTTTGGATTTGTAGTAGAGATGGGGTTTTACAGTGTTGGCCAGGCTGGTCTTGAACTCCTGACCTCTGCTGATCTACCCACCTTGGCCCTCCCAAAGTTCTGGAATTGCAGGTGTGAGCCACTGCACCCAGCCTATTTTTTAAATTATAGTTATTCTAGAAGGTGGGAAGTGATCTCTCACTGTGTTACGTTGCCCTAAGGAGCTAATGGTGTTGAGGATTTTGTCATGTGCCTAGTGGCTATTTTAATATCCTTGAAGAAACATTTATTTTTTTTAAGGTCCTCTTTGATTCCAAAGTCAGAATTACATATGTTGTGTATGTACATAACTTTCTATTGCTGTTTTTAAATTGTTCATTTATTGTAATAGAGATGAGGTCTCACCGTGTTGGCCAGGCTGGTCCTGAACTCTTGGGCTCAAATGATCCTCCCACCTCAACGTCCCAAAATGCTGGGATAGAGGCGTGCGCCGCTCTCCTCGGCCCGCTTTTCTGTGGCTTCTATTTCAAAAGCACTCTAGAACTCATTCATTCCACTTTCTGCCTTCCCAGATTGGAACCAACCAGATGGCTGTGTGTGCCAAAGCACAGAACAAACCTTTCTACGTGGTTGCAGAAAGTTTCAAGTTTGTCCGGCTCTTTCCACTAAACCAGCAAGACGTCCCAGATAAGTTTAAGGCAAGAGTTTTCCATATTTGAAGAGGTACTGAAGTCTAAATGGGAACCTTTGGAAAATTGCAGTCCTAAGAATTTCCAGTAATTTTTTCACTTCTACTGCTATTTTCCCCAACACTTGGAATACAAAGATAAATTGGTGGTTGGGCTCACACATTTGTCCCTAGAATTTCGGTCTTTCAGTCTCTTAAGTAGCATCATAGATGGGTAGAGAGGAAGCCAGGAAGCTGGTAGGTAAGTCCCAGCTTTGGGATCAACTGAGCTCAGCTCTCGTTGCTGCAACTTATAAACTGTGTGGCTTGGGCAAGTCCTTTCTTTTTTTTTAAAATTTATTATTATTTTTTAGGGTATCCAAGGAAGAAAGGGGCAAGTCCTTTCATTGTGACCTCTGAACCTGTTTCCTTTTCTGTGAAATGGCATCGTAATATCTGACAGGGTTATGAGGATTGTAAGATAATCTTACCACAGTGCCTGGCACGCCGCAAGCTCTCTATAGTGACTCTCCATCTTACCTGAGAGGTCTAGAGAAGCTAATCCAGCGTGAGAATGAGGAGACACGTGATTTAAGTTTGTTAACACCATAGCTCTCGAGGAGCACGTCATCATGATTTGGCTTATGGGCACAACTCTGCCCTCCTCTCTCTTCAGAGAGCAGTGCCAGGAAGTGGCACACTGTTCACTCATGCCAGGGCCCCATGAGTTCAGAGCCCTGAATATTCAGCGCCGACTAATGTGTACTTCTTATCTCCTCAGTATAAGGCAGATACTCTCAAGGTCGCACAGACTGGACAAGACCTTAAAGAGGAGCACCCGTGGGTCGACTACACTGCCCCTTCATTAATCACCCTGCTGTTTACCGACCTGGGTGTGCTGACACCCTCAGCAGTCAGCGATGAGCTCATCAAGCTCTATCTGTAACCTGGGGGCCCTTTGCTGCCAAGGTGTAGCTTATGTAGTTGGGCAGGGTGAGTAGCTGCTTGACACCCCAAGTGAGCAAGGCCAAAACTGAGATGTGTTTTAATGAAGATTTATGGACTAAGGACTTCGAATCAATCATCCATCTTGGAGAACCTTTCTTACTCATTGCATTTCCATCTAAGAATGTGTCAGTTATTCCAAAACCCAACCTAAATTGTTCTTAGGCTTTCTAGAAACTTTCATTTTCGGTTTCCAGAAATACAAGTTAGATTATTGGCTACTAAACTGATGAAAGATGAACCCAAGTCCACCTCTCTTCATCCTCCCCTGCACTCGACTGATTTACCAAAAGCACTCGAGATGCAGGCCAAAAGACAGCCACACCCCTCTGCAACAAATGACCAACGGCTAGTCAGGACATGTTACATGTGGTGCCTTGTAAAAGGCAAGAAACACCTGTCGAATCTGCGTCTGGCTTCCAGTGATGAGCACATTCCTGAACAGGGTCAAGCCAAGCAGCAAAAATTGTACCAAGAGAACACGAGGAAGTCCGAAGCCGCATTTAGCCATGGTACTCCACACGGCTCACTTACAAAAATACTTTCTGGAATATTTGTAAACTGAAATTCTGTGTGTGGAAGAGATGTTTACATGTTTGGGTCCTAAACAGCTTTTTAAAATTGTACTTGGAAACAAACTCAGTATCTTTTCAAATAAACTCTACGAAAGACTTTGATTTTGGTGTTGCGTCAATACTGCAAGCTGACCTCAGGCCATCTGGGGGAAAACATTGTGCAGCTACATTTACACACTCAAGACAGGCAATCGAAAGGATGCCATTTATTCAACAGAAGGCGCAAAGACTAATTCTCCTTCCTGGAATATGACTTAATTGTCTATGTGACCCATCATGATAAATATTGACTTCTATTATTTACACTCCAATAATTTTACATTTTCTTTTGTTAGAATACTTCAAGACTGGAATTGTTTTGTTTTGTTGTTTTTAATGAGAGGGTCTCACTGTGTTGCCCAGGCTGATCTTGAACTCCTGGGCTCAAGTGATCTGCCTGCCAAAGTGCTGGGATTACAGGCAAGAGCCACCACCTTTGGCCAAGACTGGACTGTTTTTAGTAAAATATTCACAATTGTGAAATCCCTCATTTTCCTCTAGTCTGAAAGGATACCTTTCAGAGATGTGATCCTTCTCAGATGTCTCCTGAAGTTTTGATTTCCACTGAAAGCAAACTGGAGCCATCCACCAAGTTAGGGAATAGCTATGCCCTTGTGGGTTCATCTGTGGCACTGGAATCAGAATCAGCTGTCGTCTTCCAAATCTGAGATCCCTAAATCTGCTGTCTTGATTGTTCTTTTGCCAGTTGTCAACAAGCTCTTCTCAAATTCTTCTTCAGTTATTTTGCCTTTTTTAAGTTTTTTCAAGAGTCTTGTGTCATTGAGAAGTTCGTCCATGTCCTCATCTTCAATATCAGAACCCTAAGTGCAGAAGAAACCAATAAACTACTAAATTTTTCAGCAATAGCGTTCCAGTGAAACCAGCAGTTTTAACTCGGGAACTATAAGCTCTCAGATTGGCTTCTGCAAATACAGCAAATTCCCAATCCTAGTCGCTAATGTAACAAAAATCTGAGAGCCCCACACAATTCCTATTTAAAGATCTACCACAGTAATACTTGTTCAAGATTCTAAGTTGGCATGTAAGTAAAAGTGTAAACTTTACCTCTTCCCTTTTCCTTTTCTCATTCATTTTTTTCTTCTTTTCTTTTTTGGACTTCTGCTTCGACCAAGCTTTATTTTTTATGAATTTTCTCCTCTTATCATTTTCTGTTTTCTCTTTTCTTTGTTGCTGCAGGAGTTTCTGCCTCTGCTTTTCTCTGATTTTATCTTTAAATGGAATCGTGTCTGTATTAATGTCCACAGGCACAAAATCTGGAAATTGCTTTCCTCTCAATTCTGGCATCTTGGGCATCCTCAACAGGGCAAAACCTCGAGCAAGGCTGGCAAAATCAAGATCTAATTCAATCAGAAGATCAGAGTTAGCACACTCAACAGGATTAGAACAATCAATAAGGGCTTATAATTTTTTTCTAACCAAAGGGTTTAATGCATTCATTTTTTAAATGAAAATAATTACATTTTTACAAAGTTAGAAGGAATACTCAGCAGCCAGTAGCCAGTTTATTCTGTGTCTACTCAAAACCTGGGAACACTTCCTTTTACAAGACAAAGCAATCTCGTACTTGTAAGACCACCACAATTAAGATGAAGACATAGAAAAATTCCAACTTACCCTTTAATCTGAAAATCAGGTTGCATTCATGCTTTGCATAAGCCTGAACATACGACACAAAAGCTTTCATGCCCTTTTCAAACACAGCTCTGTCGGCCAGGGCCATGGACTTCAGTTTTGGCAGAAGGTCCACTGTGCTTTTCTGGAGCTTCATCTCCTGCAGGGGGCACTACACACACACCACATTCTCACCTTCCCTGGCTGGCATCACCTCATCCCCAGGGATCCCCCATCACAACAAATAAAACCAAAAACAAAACAATTCCTTTTAATCTTAAATTAGAGGTCTGAATCCCAAATCCAATCCAAATATTTCACTTGCTCTATAAAGTATGTTAAATTTTTTAAAGAAAATTTAGGCCTGGCACAGTGGCTCACACCTGTAATCCCAGCACTTTGGGAGGCCAAGGCAGGTGGATCATGGGCTCAAGAGATAGAGACCATCCTGGCCAACGTGGTAAAACCCCATCTCTACTAAAAATACAAAAAATTAGCTGGGTGTGGTGGCGCATGCCTGTAGTCCCAGCTACTCGGGAGACGGAGTTTGCAGTGAGCCCAGATCACGCCACTGTACTCCAGCCTGGCGCCCGACAACAGAGCGAGACTCTGTCTCAAAAAAAAAAGAAAATTAAAATATCCAATTTCGCATGACAATCCTAATCTAGTAGCAAAGTATGGCAACACTGGGTCTCTGTTCACAAGAGGTAAGCCTTGCCTGGGCCCACCAGAGCCCCACACTGCCACCACCAGCCCAGCCCCAGTGAATTCACAATTTGTAATTTCAATTGCTGACCACGTGCCAGAGAACTTTTCTAGCTACCCCGTTACTAGGTATTCTATCTGAAAAGGGACGACAGCTTACTTTTTGGTTAATTGCAAGGAAATTGATGTATGACTCTTCCATAGGCAGGAGAAACACCAGAGCGCTGCCCCTGTGGCCGATGCGGGCTGTGCGTCCGCAGCGATGCACGAAGGCGCTGTGAGAACACAGGGTGGAAATGGGTGCCCAGGTGATGACGGCTGAGCAGAGCTCTGGCTCCAGCCACGGGGCTGCTGCTGCTAAAATGCTATGTGGAGCCTCTAGACTCCACAGCTCAGGGTGGACTTGGCCACCTACTAGTGTGAGAAACAGAAGAATTGGCAATTAAACCAGCATTGCAGACAGATATGATTCTGTAAGAAACATTTAAGGTGAACTCTAAGTAAAACTTAGATTTTTCTCTCTGATCACACAGGTACGACATGGTCCCCAGGGGGAAATCTGGGAAACAATGAAAAATATAAAGAATAAAATAAAAATGACTAATAGTCTCAGAGGTAATCATTAACACTTGGGGGTTTATAGGCATTTTCCTATGCTTGGAAGCACATATTAGGAACATATGCTGACTTTGGAAAAAGTAATTGTAATTTTCACGTGGTGTTACGTTATTGCTGTTTTTCATTTAGACATTCTATTTTCTAGACATTCTAGTTTCTTCAAGAACTGGTAATATTTGAAAATATTTTTAATTGCTGCCAATACACAATACAATATCACTATTTCACCATAAATGGGTTATTTTCATCCATTTGCCTATTTTTGCTACTTAATGCATTTTTGTTTTGAGACAGCGTCTCACACTGTCACCCAGGCTGGAGTGCAGTGGTACAATCCATTGCAACCTCTGCCTCCCACACTCAAGCGATTGTCCCACTTCAGTAGCTGGGACTACAGGCGCACACGCCTGGTTAATCTTTACATATTTTTTGTAGAGATGGGGTTTTGCCATGTTGCCCAGGCTGGTGAACTCCTTGGCTCAAGTGATTCACCAGCCTAGGCCTCCCAAAGCGCTGGAATTACAGGCATGAGTCACCATGCCCGGCCTCAAATAATGTGTTGTTTTCTCTCACTGTCTGAAATTTCTATGACCTTGCTCTACATGGAGCAGGGCAAGGCCTCAAACCATTTCAAAACTGTTCTGGCAAGCACTATAGGAATGCACAGGGTCACTGCAGACCCAAGCACGCTGGAGGCTTGCTATAAAATAATGTTTCAATGAGCGTCATTATCTGTTTATCTTCTTCAGGATTCCTACTTAATTAGGATAAATTCCTCAACAGGGAGTGGGTGGCAGCCTCATACCATACCTTGCACTGCTGGGAGGGTCATACTGCAAAACCCAGTTGACTTCAGGAATATCGATTCCCCGGGCCATCACGTCAGTGCACACTAAAATCCCACTAGAAAAATGAGAAAACGGCATTCTGAGTAAGGTCACCATCTTCATCACCATCAAACAGCCCAGTAGAGCTGGGGTTTCACCATGTTGGCCAGGATGGTCTCCTATCTCTTGACCTCGTGATCCGCCTGCCTTGGCCTCCCAAAGTGCTGGGAGAAGCAAATACTTAAGGTAATATTTTGATGTTTTTCTTCCTCCTACAAATCTCTGGGACTTCACAAATTCCAATATAAATTGGAGTGAGGTAAGAGACAGCAAAGGGATTTTAAAAATTAGAACATAACCATTTGAAAACCAAAACTATATGGGTCTAATCCTTTGTAGCCATCTGGAAAACAACAGACACTTCACTCCATGACTGAGGCCCAGCAGTCAAGTGTATCAGTTTGCCTAAAAGAGGACTTTTAATGTAGCCAAATGTTCAATGATTAAGAAAAACAGAAAAGTATGATTTGTAAGCACAAACAGAAACAAGTTCTGGTCACTGGAAGACTACAAGTTCTCTGCTGTGTAGTCACAAGCCTAAGACAGTTTCCATCCCGACAGGACAAATGGATTGCTCCTTGCTGCTTGACCCTTCCCTGGGCCAGGCACAGGACAGTCTGGGAGTGAAGACAATACACAGGGATCCTGTGTCACGGAGCTCGCCATCTAGCACGGGAGTTCAGTAACCAGGGAAGTGACACAGCAAAAGAAAAAGAGATTAGAACAGAGCAATGGAGGTCCTGGGTGTTTACAGAGAGATGATAACCACATTAGAGAGGGAAGAGGGTTCCAGACAGGAAAAACAACACACGCGGGCAGCACAAGCTATGGGAGAATGGGGCATTTGGGGACCTGAAAGAGCACCGTGTGACAGGAGAGCTGCTCCCTCCCTCCCACCCACCTTTGCAATTTACGGAACTCCATGAAGATCTTATTGCGTTTATATTTCATCTTTCCATGAATGCACATAATCTTCACGCCCTTCACCAGCGCCTCCAGAGCCTTCCCATAGTATTCCACACAGGCACAGGTGCTGCAAGAGGGACAGAGAGCTTAGAGGCATTTACCACCTTTGTCCTTCTACAACTGGGAGAGGGGAACAGCGAGCAACAGCTGCAGTAGACGCAACCTAACTCTGAGCCTTCCCTAGGGGAATGAAGAGGAGCAAGACAGTGAGAATCATCCCGAGCCCTCCCTAGGAGAACGAAGAACAGAAAGGCAGTGAGAATCATCCACAACTAAGTTCTCAATCTGTAATCCTCTCAGCCAATCAAAGGCCAATCTTTTGACAAAATCCCTTACACACGAATTAAAACCCCCAAGGATGTATTCTACTATCTAAAGATGTTCTAACGGGGAATCTCCCTGACCCTGAGAAAGGAATTAAGGTGAAACAGTTATTCAGAACAAAAGCAACAGCATCTTAGCCACAAATGGTCTTATAAGATTTAAAAATATTCCCGCTTTTCCTTTAGGGAAGAGCTGCCTTCCCAGTTAGCAGGATTCCCAAGGGCTCAGCAAATAACTCAAGCTAGACCAATCAGATCCCTTCTCTCAGATATTTGGGACTTGGAGCTAAGTCATACAAGGACAAAAGGGGGTTGGCAGAGTCATCCCAATGAGGATGTGCCCTAAAGAGATGGTCCATGACTCTTGCCTGGGATCCTCCTTCCCTGGGAGCTGGACACTCAACATTCTCTCTGAATCTGTGAGCTCCTTACCCAGCACCGTTCTAATAAAGTTCACCCTGGACCGTTTTCTTTAACTGGAAGCATTCCAAAGTGATTTCTCATCCTTTTGCAGGTGAGGGAACTGAAACTTACCAGAGACACAGAATAAGTGGCAGAACCAGAACCCAGGTCTAATGCTCCCCCCACTATGCCAGACTGCCACCAGTTTGGGCTAACTCTTGTCTATGTCAGTTCCTCCACCTATGCTGTGACCGCTACCAGAGGGGTCCCTCTTTTCTACCTTGAGTCACATAGTATATAATGAAGTGGCGTTTCACACACTAAGCCTCACAACCCATAGATCCTGAAAACAATCTGGTGGGTTCTAAAATCAATTTAGGAGGTCTCGACCAGCATTTTAAAAAAATCAATTGCTGGAATAGAACAGAATAGAAAATATCCCACCTGGCAGAGTGCAGTTTCGTGAAAACCTTTGTTTTATTATCTTGTGTGGGTATGTACCAAATTGTACTGCTTACTGTGGGTCATGGTCAATACTGCATTTTATTTGCAGGATAACAGATGGAGAAGAAATGTAAAATTATTTTTTATGTACTGCCAAAGATCAACACATTTATATTTGGAGAAAAGGGGAAAAGAACCAACCAGTCCAAAGAACATCCGCAGCTGTTCCTACGCTGCCTTTTGACCACAAGACAAAGCCCCGCTGTGGCAGACTCCATGGGTGGCTGATAACACTGTTCCCAACTACTTCTTGCTTCGCTGACCACTACCACAGAGGCAGAAAAGCTGTGCACTCATTTTCTCCGCCGCTCTTGAAATGAGGGGCCACCATGTGACCCACTTTGGGCCCCTATGATGGATTCACAGCCGAAGTCAGCTAAGGCAGAGGGTTTTCTGAGGAAGCTCTTTGCTTTTCTAATTAAAAGGCATGGATATAGCTAACACTACCATATGCCCCCTCTGCCTTTCCCCGCCTTATCTTTCTTCAGTGCAGACATGACAAGGTGTAATAGTGGTCATCCAGAATCCATGACGTGACACGTAGGCAGAGGAGACCAATCACAACACTGACTTTGACATGACTGACATATGAAACCCACGTGAGAAACTGCCTGCCTTTGGACTTCTTTTTACAGGATAAAAATAAAGCCACAAACCAGAAAAGTTGGGTTTTCAGTTATTTGCAGCCAAAAGCATTCCTGAGAGAACCATGCTAGATGGAATCCAAAACCCAAAGGCCGCATGCACCTGCACATTCTGGCTGAATCCCTGATGCCCCTACCACAGAGACCAGAGGAGTACCTGAAGAAGACCAGGTGTTTCTCCTGCTTATGATTGCGAAGGAAATGAACCAGCTGATTAAATTTCTCATCTGCCTTGCATACCTATAAAATAAACAGGGAAATTAATAAAAAACATATTTGGCAATAATAATCCCCGTGGCTATTTTCAGTTTCAGCGTTCAGTTTTAAGGAATGCCATTTCCTCTATGGATAGGACAGGCTTTAGTCAGAATGTTAATTGGTCTACCTAGCTCAGAATAAACATCGACATGTGCTTCTGCCTGTAAAAGTTAATTTGTATGTCACAAAACCACACGGCTCAGAGAAACACAGTCATCCAACAGGCAGCAGTTCCCAACTCCCAAGTCTACACGTCAGCTGTCACACCAGCTCCAGGGTGGATTTTTATTTACTTATTTTACTTTTTTTTTTTTTAAGAGACAGAGTCTCAATATGTTGCCCGGACAGTCTTGAACTCCTGGCCTGGCCCCAGGCAATCCTCCCACGTCAGCTCTAAAGTACTGGGATTACAGGGATGAACCACCTTTCGTGGCCAAAGGATAGATTCTTTTTTTTTTTTTAATGCAGATTCTTGGGTATGACATACAGATTCTGATTCAGTAGGTCTGAGATTGGACCTAAGAATCCGTATTATTTTTTCTTTTTCTTTTTTTTTTTTTTAATGCAGTCTCAGGTAGTTTTTTTAACAGCAAGAGTCCCTATTATTTAAGAGTTTAAAAAGAAAAAGTTTACCCAGGAAATTCTGATGCCAAGTTCAGAAGTCATTGCTTTAAGTTGAATAATGATTTCCAGAAAGCAATGTACATAATTATTTAAAAGGCCTCCATGGACGCAGACCCCACTGCTTTTCTTCATAGTGCAATCAAGTCCTCCATTCAAACTTCCAAATTACAGACATTAAATTTACCTGAATGCATTCATCCTATTTTTGCCCAAACCAAATCCCCAGTTTGGAATGTTTTTCTCATATACTCAGCCATCTCTAAATGCAAAACAAACGCACAATAACAGAATGCAACAGCAGAAACAGTGGGTTTCCAAAGCTAACATTAGTACTAACTATCCCTCATCCAAGACCGTTGGGACCCGAAGCGTTTTGGCTTTTGAATGTTTTCAGATTTTGGAATAACTGCACTATACTTACCAGCTGAGCATCCCTAATCTGGAAATCTGAAATCCTAAATGCTCTAATGAGCATTTCCTTTGAGCATCATGTTGGCACTCAAAAACCTTCAGATTTTGGAGCATTTTGGATTTTGGAATTTCAAGTCAGCAATGCTCAACCCATACTTACTAAGTACCAAGCATTATCATGGATATTTTTGCATGGATTAATTAATCCTCCAACAACCCTACGAAGCTGTATACTACTGTGGCCTCCATTTGACAAGTGAGGTCCTGTAAGTTCATCGGTTAATTAAGAAGGGGACAAAGCCAAGACCTGCAGCAGGCAGTTCTGCTCTAGCGCCATACTCTCCACTCTTCCCTATGCCTACCTGATGCGCTGAGCTGGCCTCCTACTTCACCTAGCCCGGCCTCAGGCAGAAACATCAATGGTAGCTACAGCTCCCACTTCTGACGAGCCTATCTGATTTCGACAACACTCTCCAGTGAAACTAGGTGCAGTTTCTCATTTGCAAACTCATTCTACCATTCATCTGCCTGCAAACTGACACAAACAGGAGAGCAGCCTCGACAACCTCAGTCCACAGCAAGAGGAACACTCTACTTTCGAGACCAGCCTCCTTCATTTTGAACAACAGACAGGTTCAGGAACTGAGGAGCTACCCCCTCAGGCCTAAAGAAATATTCAACCTGAGAAAGCTGATTGCAAAAGAGAAAGAAAAGCCCCAGCCCCAGGCTGGTGGGCGGATGTGCTGTTAGCAGTGACCTGGCCTGTGGGTTCCTCCATGCCTCCCCGGTAGCCTGTGCTCTCTGCACTTGTGCCTCGTGACCCATTCCAGCAATGGGACAGAACAGAATGGGGCTGGGGAATGGCCTCATTACTAAACAATCAAGTTGCCAAAAGCCCATCCACTTCCCTGTAAAGAAACTACAGGAAGCAGCAGCTAGTCTTCACTGCTAGAAATTCAGCATATTTGATGCAAGTAAAAAATATACAATATTTACAGAGTAGAACATTTCCACCCACAAAGTCTCCTGAGGAATGCGTCTGTCATTTGATTTTCCGTGTTCCGCCTGCACATCTAACTATGCCCTTCTCTGGGTCAGGCTGTTCTGACGGGCCCAGGAACTAGAGCTGTATCACACTGCACCCAGCACACCCCAGGCATGTGAAATAAACATTTGGTCACTTGAGGTTGGAGGTTCAAAGATACTGTCCTTAGAAACTGTGCTTACAATATATTTATGCCCAATTTAACTTATTCATTCAATGAGTAGGACCACCCAGACCATTTGTCCTAGCTCTGTCCCCAGAAGCATTTCATATGTGCTACAGGGTCTCATATATTTATTCTCCTAGTACAATTTTCGTAAAATGAGCCCTGGTCATTATCGCTGAGTAAGAAGCACGCCCAGGCTCTCACCATGTAGTAGTTTTCCAGGCGGGAGGGGGTCTTCTGGGCACTGCTGGCTGCCACGCCCTTCTCCTTCACCGAGACCCGGACAGGGTTCCGGAGACCCGCTCTCACCAAGTTCTCCACTTCCTGCGTCTGAGTGGCAGAGAAAAGGCCTGTTCTCCTCTGCTTTGGCAACAACTCCAGGATGGTGTTGATGCTGATAAAAAGAGGAGAGCTCGCAATTAACCCCTCACTTGCCAGCATAATCAACACACAGTGCTTCACGATACTGAACAGGTACTCTAAAAGACTGAAAGATCAAAATATTTATAGTCAGGTATGCTGGGAGGTAAAATTATACGTGATTTTTTGTTTCTTCTTTATACTTTCATTTTTCCAAGATTTCTCAAATTTTAGCATACAATTATAATGATATGTAAATTATAAACATAAAGCTATTAATTAAAAAACAACAGAACTACCAGGTATGATGGCTCATCCCTATAATCCCAGCACTTTGGGAGACTGGGATGGGAGGATCTCTTGAGCCCAGGAGTTTGAGACCAGCCTGGGCAACATGGCAAAACCCCATCTCTGCAAAAAAATACAAAGAACATCCAGGCATGGCGGTGTGCGCCTGTAATCCCAGCTACTCAGGAGGCGGACGCAGGAGGATCACCTGAGCCCAAGAGGTCAATGCTGCAGTGAACATGATCACGTCACAGCACTCCAGCCTGGGTGACAGCGCAAGACCCTATTTCTAAAAAACAAAAAATAAAATTAAAATTAAAAATAAAAATCCCTAGTCATAAAGTGGTAAATTCCAGTTTGCTCTCCTTATGTATTAGGATCACCTGCCCACTCAAGCCAGTGAAGTCTACAGCCCAGTACCTTGCCTCAAATCCCATGTCCAAAAGTCTGTCTGCCTCGTCCAACACCAGGACATCCAGGGATCGCACACAGCTGGCCAGATCCAAGCCTTCTGCCTTCCTTCGGAACATGTCTTCCAAGCGGCCGGGAGTGGCCACAATGATGTTCCCACTTTGGAAAGAAAATTAACATTTACCATACTCTCTGGATCTTGGGAATGTGGCTGATGATTAATAAATACGAAGTTTCCTATCCCCCCAAAGTCATTTATGCCCTAGTGAAGAGAAAGAAGACCATGAGAGTGGAAGAGAGTGCTGCAGGGTGGAGTGAGGGCTGCGGTGACATGCAATCTGGGCTGTGGACCATGACCCAGGCAAGGTTGGCAAACTCCAGCTCCCAGACCAAACCTGGGCTGCTGCCTGTCCTTGCTAAGTATTTACTGGCAGACAACCACGCCCATTTATTCACATGTTGTCTATCACTGACTTCACACTACAACAGCAGCTGAGTAACTGCGATGGAGACCATATGGTCCACAAAGCCAAAAACATTTACCATCTGCTTCTTTACAGAAAAATCTTACCAACCTCTGACCTACACAAGTTACTCAAACACTGCAGCCCCAGGTAATTAATCTGTAAAATGGGGATGTTGACAGAATTAGAGAATCCTCTGTTCCTAAAGATCACAGACTCAGGGCCAGATGTGGCACCAACCGACTGGCTGACCTACAAGATGTGTTTTTCCAATGTGGATTACATGCCAACAGTTAAAAAATCAAGCCAACAGTTAAAAAATCAAGAGATTACACGAAACTGGAATTCCACCTTCTTTTTTAAAAATTCAAAATCTAGGCCGGGCGCAGTGGCTCATGCCTGTAATCCCAGCACTTTGGGAGGCCAAGGCGGGTGGATCACGAGGTCAAGAGATCGAGACCATCCTGGTCAACATGGTGAAACCCCGTCTCTACTAAAAACTACAAAAAATTAGCTGGGCATGGTGGTGCGTGCCTGTAATCCCAGCTACTCAGGAGGCTGAGGCGGGAGAATTGCCTGAACCCAGGAGGCAGAGGTTGCGGTGAGCCAAGATCGCGCCATTGCACTCCAGCCTGGGTAACAAGAGTGAAACTCCATCTCAAAAAAAAAAAAAATTCAAAATCTGGCACTACTGAGTTCAGAGTCCTGCCAGGCAACTACCAGCCGGAGATGAGTATTCCAGGCAGCTAATGGCCAGTTCCTCACCATCCCCCAGCCCTGCACACATCTATCCCGACCACTCATTTATCCTGACATAGTTCTCTTGACCTCTGTAAGAACCTGAGTTTGTGAAGTGCTCGTCAGGGCCTTATGGGAAGGAGACAGCAAAGCACAATGGGAAGCTGGCCTGGAGAAAACACCCTTTTGTGGGAGGAGGCGGCTGCTGAAAGGGGGACCCACAGTTAGGCTGAGATCACACATCGATTCCTAGGTTCAGTGCCAAGAGCAAGCAAAGAAACGAGCAGACATGAGCAAACTCACCCTTGTTGCCTAAACCTCTCAACATCTTCTCCAGGATTTCTGCCTCCAATCCAAAGAATCTGGCTGCAAGAAGAAAACAGCCATTGATTAAGTTCAGTAAAACGACAGCCCATGGCTAACAGGGACAGTGCATCCAGTTTACCTGAACTGCGGGAAGTGCTTCGTGAAATGCGACAAGACCTCGTCTATCTGAATGGCCAGCTCTCTCGTGGGGGTGATGATTATGGCTCCAACCTACCCACATGGAAGGAAAGGACACAGTCAGCGGCGCAAGGGACTTCCAGAGAGGAACTCATAGGCCCTGAGCCCTCCACCACACAAAGGAAAGTTCCAGAGAAACAGTAGTTCCTGGACTTTCTCAGCAGCATCTCTGAGCATGTATCAATTACTCTGGATTGCAGTTACTCGTCATTACACACTGCAGTTATGCTCTTTAAAGTCACTGAGAACACTGAACTAGTGAACACTGAACCACTGCTCACAGGGTTTGGTTCCTGCCGGTCTCTGGGCATCACATTTTTATAAACTAATCAATACATAACCCTATTTTATGTAAGTTTGTGCTCAAAAGACTCTAATATATACTGTTGATTCATTCCTATTGAACTCGCGGCCAAGAGAACATTAACTCATGCCTGAACCTGTGCTTGTCTAGCACGTGGATTTTCTCTGCATGTCATAACCTTCTTGCACCCAGGAACACGAGACTGCACCTCAGTACTATATCACGGGGCCATTTCAAAAAGCAAAATCACCAACAGAAAGCACACAAATGTGCAAAATGGCTGGGCGCAGCGGTTCACACCTGTAATCCCAGAACTTTCGGAGGCTGAGGTGGGAGGCACTTGAGCGCAGGAGTTTGAGACCAGCCTGGGCAACATAACAAATCCCCGTCTCCTCAAAAAAATACAAAAAATTACCCAGACATGGTGGTCCACACCTGTAGTCCCAGCTACTTGGGAGGCTGAGGCAGGAGGATCGCTTGAGCCTGGGAGATGGTGGTTGCAGTGAGCTGATATCATACCACTGTACTCTAGCCTGGATGACAGAACAAGACCCTGTCTCAGGGAAAAAAAAGGTGAAAAACATGGCACTAAATGGACAATGAAAAGGACACTGTTTATACCTGAGCACTAAAACAAAAGGCACCTTTGCCCACGCCCGTGACCACAGAAGCACCAAGGATCCACTGGGGGTTATACATTTTAATGAGCAGGTAAATTCATAAATACAGAATCCACAAATAATCAGGATTAATTGTCTTTTCTTTTTTGAAACGGAGTCTCACTCTTGTCACCAGGCTGGAGTGCAGTGGCGTGATCTTGGCTCACTGCAACCTCTACCTCCAGGGTTCAAGCCATTCTCCTGCCTCAGCCTCCTGAGTAGCTGGGATTACAGGCACATGCCACCATATCCAGCTAATTTTTACATTTTTAGTAGAGATGAGGTTTCATCATGTTGGCTAGGATGGTCTCAATCTCTTAACCTCGTGATCTGTCTGCCTCAGCCTCCCAAACTGCTGGGATTACAGGCGTGAGTGACCGCACCCGGCCAATTGTCCTTTATTTTTTCAAGATTCATTCATTATTTGTAGAGGTGAGGTCTCACTGTGTCGCCCAGGCTGGTCTCAAACTCCAGGACTCCAGTGATCCTCCAGACCCAGCCTCCCAAAGTGCTGGGATTATAGGCATGAGCCACTGCTTCTGGCGTATTTTTTCAAGTTTGTATCCAGCTGCTTAATCCAATGTGGACCCTCTGATGACTAGGTGAAAATAAATCACTTTTGCTGTCCTCACCTGACTCTTTTTTAACTTCTCTTCTCTTCTCAGAAGAATTTCCAGGATGGGGATGACAAAAGCGAGCGTTTTGCCACTACCTGTGACCTGCAAACAGAGAGTTTTGGTTTCCTTTTCTTCCTCAGAGTTCATTTGAGAGAAAACGCGAGGACAGGCGCGTACCTGAGGCACTCACCGCTTCTGCAGCAACATCTTTGTTTCGCATGAACAGAGGGATGGTTGCAGACTAAAGGGAGAGATGGCAAAGCACAGGTTAAAGGATGCCATGAACTCACAGGTGAAACCCAAAGCCCTAGGAACAGAATGGGCAGCTAAGGTCATAGTGGGGCCCACCACAAAAGCGACTCTGAGTAACCAAGTCACCACAGAGAAGTTGAATCAAATGCGGCAACTATGTCTACATGGAGAGCGTGTGGGGAGAGTGAGCTGAGCTGGGAGGCAGGCGTCCTGAATTCTAGTCCTATCTCTCCTACCTTCCCCTCTCTGAACCAGGAAGGGGTTGCAGACACTGGGTTTTAAGGTCCCTTCCAGTTCTGGTATAACAGAATGATGATTCCAATAAATTCTCTCATTTTAAGCACTGTAGAGGTCTCCAGACTTTACAAGAAACCTGGTTTTAGCAACCAAAACAGCTAAACCTCAATCAGATTCAGGTGCCCAGGGCCTGAGCTCTCTTGTATCACAGCAGGTGTAATATTATTCCAACTGCCTGTACACAGTGACTTCTATCCTCCTGCCTCAACCCCCGAGGGAATATTTGACAATGTACGGAAACATTTTTGGTTGTCAAAACCCAGGGTGACCAGGTGTGGTGGCTCATATCTATAATCACAGCACTTTGGGAGGCCCAGGTGGGTAGATCCCCAGTTCCAGACTAGCCTGGGCAACATAGGGAGACTCCGTCTCTACAAGAAAACGTTTTTAATGATGTGGATGTGATGGTACATGCCTGTGGTCCCAGTTACTCGGGAGGCTAAGGCAAGAGGATCACCTAGGCCCAGGGAGCTGGAGGCTGCAGTGAGCTGTGACTGTGCCACTGCACTCCAGCCTGGGGAACAGAGCGAGACCCTGTCTAAATAAATAAATAAATTTAAAAAATACAACCAGGGTTGGGAGGTGATGTGCTCCAGTGAACAGATTCTAGTAATGCTGTTAAACAGCCTGCCATGCCCAGACAGCCCCACAACAAAACATTTTCCAGCATAAAAGGTCAATAGTGCTGAGGGTGAGGCCCCTGCTCCAGGCCCCTGCTGTCCAACAGAACTATGATGTGAACCACACAATTTTCCATTTTCTAGTAGCCATAGTAAGAAAAGTAAAAAGAAATGGATGAAATAAATTTTAATATTTTATTTAACCCAATATATCCAAAATATTGTCCCTTCCACATTTAATCAATATTTAAAAATCAACATTTCTCCATTCTTTTTTCATGCTAGGTCTTCAAAATCCAGTGTGTTATTTGATACTCAAAGTACATTTTGATGTGGACGAAGTGTATTTCAAGCACTCGACAGCCCTGGGTCTGGTGACTACGTAGTGGATGACAGGTCTAGACAATGAGCTCTGAGGGCAGAGATTGGGTCTTGTTTGCACTACATTCCCAAGGAAGGGCACACAGCACTCCCGGTTTCCATCTCCAGCCCTGCCTGCTGGAGACAGATCCTCTACATTCCCTGGAATCTTATGGGCATCTCAAACTCAAGACTTCATTTATTTTAAATTTTTTTTGCAATGACAGGGCCTCCCTATGTTGCCCAGGCTGGTCTTGAACTCCTGGTCTCAAGTGATCCTCCTGCCTTGGTTTCCAAAAATGCTGGGATTACAAGCATAAGCCACCATGCCCGGCCTTTATTTATTTTAATCTTAGAGGTGGGGTTCTCCCTATGTTGCCCAGGCTGGTCTTGAACTCCTGGGCTCAAGGGATCCTCCCACCTCAGCCTCCAAAGTAAATGGTACTACAGGCAGGTGCCACTGGGTACCAGCTCAGTGTTTAAAAACAGAACGCTTGTGGCCGGGTGTGGTGGCTCACACCTGTAATCCCAGCACTTTGGGAGGCCGAGGCAGGTGGATCACCTGAGGTCAGGAGTTTGAGGCCAGGCTGATCAACATGGCGAAACCCCAACTCTACTAAAAATACAAAAATTAGCTGGGCATGGTGGCGCATGCCTGTAATCCCAGCTACTTGGTAGGCTGAGGCGGGAGAATCACTTGAACCTGGGAGGTGGAGATTACAGTGAGCAGAGACGGCACTCCAGCCTGGGCAAAAGAGCGGACTTTGTCTCAAAAAATTAATAAAAAAGAAAAATCTTGAACCTCTTTTCTGACTTTTGACTTGACTCTTGACCCCAGAACTCTTGACTTTCCCTCTGAAACCTGTTATACTCTCTAGCTGTTCTCAGGAAATGGTAACACCATTCAGCTAGCTACTAAGAATAGAAACCTCAGGTCCCTCTAGAGTCTTCTCTTTCCCAACCTCCACTTCCAGTCCCTTAGCAACCTTAAAGCTATCCCAAATGTGACTTCTCAATATCCACTGGTTCCACGCTACTCCGAGCCACCATCATCTTTTACCTAACAATGGCCTCCTAAGCAACCTGCCTGCCTCATCTCATGCCTGGAAAGGCCACTCTCTACAGAGAAATCACAGCCCTTCCCTTCCTAAACAGCTTCCTAGATAAGATGGCTTCCCACTACATTCAGAATGAAATCCAAGCTCCTACAAGACCCTGCACAATCCATCTCTTACACTACTCTTGATGTTCAGCCACAAAGGCCTCCTTTGTGCCGCCCAAACCATGTGCAGCCCGCTCCAGGGCCTTTTTGTGCACTGGCATTTCTCTCTGCTGAAATAATCTGCCCCCAGTCACCCCAGAGCCAGCTCCTTCTCAATCACTGAGGTCTCAGCTCAATGACACCTCCTCAGAGGGGCCTTCCGTAACACCGTGTCTCACCTCTCCTGTCCTCGAGTGTCACTATCACAACTGTCTTAGTTCTTTCATAACACTAACCAGCAGCTGAAATTATCCTTTCTCTAGCTCCTGCCCCAGAAAGTAAGGCTATGAGCAGATGCCAACACTGCAAACTGCCCAGACCCTAGAAGAGTTCCTCACACACAGCAGGTCCTCAAGAATTACTTCTTGAAGAAATGCATAACTGGAGGGTCGGGCCGCTTCACTTGGATGTATAACAACAGGTAACACTTACTGAGCGCCTACGGTGTGCGGGCTGGTTTATTTAGTCCCGACAGCAACCCCATGATGCAGGTGTTATTTTTTCATTTCACAGAGAAGGAAAATGAAGCACGGAGAGATTAAGCCATTTGTCTGAGGTCTCACAGCTACAGTGGGCAGGGCCAGGTTGAGAACCAGGCTCGGAGAGCGGAAGCCATTTGTCTGAGGTCTCACGGCTACAGTGGGCAGGGCCAGGATGAGAACAAGGCTCGAGACCCCAGTACCCGAGGGTGGGGTGGGGCGTGGCCCCTCTGCCCGCTCGCTCGCGGAGCAGCTCCGCATCCCGCCAGTCTGGGCAGCCTGGAGACGAGGCAAGAGCCCCAGCTGGAGGGATGAGCGCCCTAGCGCTCGGGTCTGTCCGATCACCTCTGGCGTATCCGATGCAGCGGGTGCCTGCCCCTTTCCCAGTCTCATTTCCCCCCGGGAACCGATACCTGCACCGGCGTCATGTATGGGAAGCCCAGTTCCCGCAGCGCGCCCAGCACCCGTGGGTGCAGCGGCACTGGCAGCGACTCCCAGGAACCCTCCGTCACGTGCTCCATGGTGAGCTCCTTCTCTGCCTCCGTAGCCGCCGCTAGAATGCGCCCTGTGCACCTCCACCGAGCACTTCCGCTTCCGGCAGCTGCGGCAGCCGTCCGGGAACCGCGCGCTGGAGCAGCCGAGTTCCGGAGCTCGGCGAAGGCCCCCACGCAGCGGGAGAGAGAAAAGGCGCCCGCGAGATGGTGAAGGCAGGCGGTGGGGCAGGCCCGGGGAGTTCCACCCGCCCCGCGCAGCTCCTTAGACTCCGGGCGCCTCTCCGCACGGGGCAGGGGTTTTGGCGGGAGGGAATCTGGCCCGGTCCTCCCACTTTGCCTCTCGGAGGCAGGTGGCGGCACAGGACCGCGTCCAGGCCGAAGGGCCGTGGGGCTAGCTACCGTGGGCAGAGAAACGTGCCCCAGCCCCGAGGCCCCGGGTTAGCAGCCCTGCAAAAGAGGCACCCGCTGATGGCGGCGAGGCGGGGGATCCGATGGCCAGTATGTCTTGAATGTTGATTTACTTTCCCGGAAGTTAGCGTCAGAGTCTTAAGGACACTGTCCCATTCCTCTATTCACTGTTGGCCTAGGCCATTCATGGCCACACACCCCTTCACTCAGCAGGCTTTTACTGGCCACTCATTATGAGCTGAGCTCTGTGAGGGCCTGTCTCCTTCAGCTAGGTGCATGGCTTACCCCTGTTGGGGCTCTGAAAACGAAACTACAAAATGAAGGCCCTTGAGGCAGCCTCAGAAGCAGGTTTCCCTCTGACCTCTTGCCGGGTCTCTGATCTCTGATTCTCTTGAGGCTGGCCATAGAAACAAGAATCCCTCTTACTCATGGCGGAGTATAGAAACGGGAACCCCTTTTCTCCAAAGTTACCCATAAAACCTAAAAATACTACTCAACTCCCTCTCTTTCTACCTTTCTGTGAAAAAAGTGGCCATAAAGAAATTATCTGGGCCGGGTGCGGAGGCTCACGCCTGTAATCCCAGCACTTTGGGAGGCCGAGGCAGGCGGCTCACCTGAGGTCAGGAGTTTGAGACCAGCCTGGCCAACGTGGTGAAACCTCGTTTCTACTAAAAATAAAAATAAATTTAAAGCCAGGTGTGGTGGCAGGCGCTTGTAATCCCAGCTACTCGGGAGGCTGAGCCTTGAGCATCGCTTGAACCTGAGAGGTGGAGGTTGCAGTAAGCCGAATTCGTACCACTGCTCTCCAGCCTGGGTGACATTGCTCGACTCCATCTCAAAAAAAAAAAAAAAAAGGCCAGACACGGTGGCTCAGCCTGTGATCCCACCATTTTGGGAGGTCGAGGTGGGTGGATCACGTGCGGTCAGGAGTTCGAGACCAGCCTGGCCAACGTGGCGAAACCCCGTCTCTACTAAAAATACAAAAATTAGCCAGGTGTGGTGATGCACTCTTGTAATCCCAGCTATTTGGGAGGTTGTGACGGGAGAATCGCTTCAACCCAGGAGATGGAGGTTGCAGTGAGCTGAGATTGTGCCACTGCACTCCAGCCTGGGCAAGAGTGAAACTCGGTCTCAAAAAAAAAAAAAAAAAATCATCTGACCTCCTTTGTTTTGATTGTAGGTTTTAAGACTCCATTCCAGGAAGGGTTCTGTCCCCTACCCAGAAGGAAAGAATGCTGCACAGAGAGGTGGAGAAAAATCCAGACAGGCCTTGCTAGGCTTCCCCATTCAGTCTATGAACATGATCATGCCCTTCTTGTCCAGTCCTGTTTCTACACAGCTGTGCATATTTTGTTGAGCCTAAGCATAAAAATGAATAGTCTTCCCTATATCTTGGGGTCTTAATTCTGAAGGTTCCTTTGTCATGCAAAACCATGACCAAATAAATTTGTATTATTGAGCCTGGGAGGTTGAGGCTTCAGTGAGCAGAGATCAAGCCAACATACTTCAACTTGGGAACAGAGTGAGATCCATGGCTCCAAAAATAAAAGGGGGGGGTACTTCACAGACAGCTCTAAGGGCATAGGGAAACTGCATATCCATGTGTGTCTTCTGGACTCTACTATCTACTAGTTTTCTGCCCTTAGGACCCTTTCCAAGCCTGTTTTCCTTCTCATTTTCAAAATGATTTTACCCAAGGTAATGTCAGTTTTGAAGCATAAATAAGACCAAGTAAAGTGCTTAGTACTAGATCAACACTTTACACAGTGCTCAATAAATGGTAGCTACTTTTTTTTTTTTTTTTTTTTTTGAGACAGAGTCTTGCTCCGTCAGGTGCCAGGCTGGAGTGCAGTGGCACGATCTCGGCTCACTGCAACCTCTGCCTCCCGGGTTCAAGCAATTCTCCTGCCTCAGCCTCCCGAGTAGCTGGGACTACAGGCTCACGCCACCATGCCCAGCTAATTTTTGTATTTTAGTAGAGATGAGTTTCACCATGTTGACCAGGATGGTCTCGATCTCTTGACCTCATGATCTGCCTGCCTCGGCCTCCCAAAGTGCTGGGATTACAGGCGTAAGCCACTGCGCCCAGCCGGTAGCTACTTTTATTACCAGCAGGCTGTTAGTTCACAGAGGAATAACAGTTTCTACAGGTGGAGATCTAGTCTCCGGTTCACCTTTTGCTGTTATCTGTAGCCTTGGGCAAATCATTTAATCTGTCTTTTAACCTATTTCCCATATCCATAAACCTTGCAGGTGAATGAAAATAATTCAACCCTTTCTTTTTTCCCAAATAGAAAAATACTTGAGATTTTAGCACTGATCCACCAGAGAAGCCACACAGGAAAACGTGCAGAAACTAAAATTTGGTACCATTCACTATCCTCAAGTTTATAGAATTAAAAAGTAATAGGCACGAATACTCAAAAAACATGGACATGTCTCATGTCAAATAAGAACAGAAAGTTGGTGTGTAAAAAATGTGAATTAACTGCCAATATATAAAACACAGAATACTGACTGATTTAAAAAGAATTGTTTATTTACCGAACCTGGGGCATATTAGATACAACCAATTTTAAATTTACATTTTTTAAATCAATTTTGAAGTGTTTCACGCACACAAAAAAATTGGCATGCAACAGTTGTCCAAAGGTGAAAGTCACCTTATCAATAAACTGTTGCAAGTGTTCTCACCCAAGGTTGAAAAATTGTTTATCCTGAACATGAAAACCTGTAACAAATTTAAATTAATTATATAAAACTCGTTACTTGTAGTTTTCCCCTTGCAAAGATTAAAAAAAAAAAAAAGTACAAGTAACTAATATGTATCAGTCACAACATAATCCTGGATCATCCCCATACCAAAACCAGATGCTCTGAATTTTAAACCCATCATGAGAGAACAAGAGAAAGTCATTTCACTTTACACAAAACAAAATTCACATGTGCCAAAAAGAAAGACCCAAGAGAAACAAACAAAAACCCTAGTGCTGACACTGATGTTCAGTGCCCTAGTTAAACAGTGGCCCAGTGGCCCAAAGGCCACTGATCAAAAATAAAATAGTGGCTGTATATCACCGCAATGAAATCCAAGAGGCTTTAGCCCTTTGGCATCAGAAATCCAGATTTTTCCAATTATGTAAATGCATATTTCCTACGTGCCAAGAGTAAGGGAAGTGGATGTGCCAGTGTGGAAAGAAAAAGAGCCACCATTCACTGGGACGCCAGAGAACTGGCTTTAACAGACAATTAGAAGTTTAGGCAGAAACCCAAAAATGGTTATCAGCTGCTTGTGTCATCAATTTAAGTGGAGGTGATTGAGTCCTAAGATTCAATGTAAAAATGTATGGGGGAAAATGGATGCTGAGTTGTAGCTTTAAAGCAGAACAAGAAAACAAAGTATAAAAGTACCCAGCCTGGCAGCATACGCCCAAGTCAGAGAGCTCTGCCATTAGGATGGGTAGAAACCGTCAAGATTCATACTATTGTTTCGCATAAGGACTCAACAAAAATAAATTGTTAGTGACTTGAACTACAAAATAAGGGAATCTAAAGAATGCAGTCATTTTAGTAAAGTACTATTAGGCTTTGTGCCGATTTCCTGAACAAACTGCATTTAATTATGAATACAAAAAGAAAAAAGAAATAATAAAAACAAAAACTATACGCCCATATTTCACTTACAGTGTTTGAGTTCCTGGAAGGACTTATATAATGGAGGCAGCATTCAAATAAGAAATTATGCCAATCAACTGTCAAATTTGCACTGTAACTTTCCTAAAAAGGTGTTTTTCCCCCTATATCTATTAATCACAAGGAAACATAAGTTGTGAATGTATAGTTCAGAAAATAAAAATGGAGAAACTAATGACATTATTGTGACCAAGGTGTTTGGTAAACAGTGAATTCTGAGTTTGGGATCATCAGGAAGAGGCTTTTTAAACAACCCTCCGGACTTCAAAAAATCTCTTCAGGTAGTAGATCTGTCCCAATGTCATGGCAACTAGAACAAGAGCTTCAAAGAAGGACCAAAGGACCACTCTGCTGTTTGTGTTGTCGTTGACTGTTGAGGACAAACAAACAAACAAAATTTAAACAATTCTCCCCCCAAAAAAAACACAGGCATCATAATTATTCTAGTTTTCACACTGTATGAAAGTAATATTTTATACACCATTCATAGAATAAATGTTGTCAACTTACAATGGGGTTACATCCCAATAAACCCAGCTTAAGTTGAAAATGCATAAGTAAAAAATATTATTTAATACACCTAACCTACCAAACATCATAGCTTAGCCTAGCCTACCTAAAACATTATCAGAACACTGAGACTAGCCTATAGTTAGTTAGGCAAGAGCATTTAACGACACAAAGATTATTTTATAATAAAGTGTTTTATATCTCATGTAAGTTAAACTGCAATTTATATTTTATTTATCAAGTTATTGAACACTGCACTGAAAGTAAAAAAACAGAATGGGCCAGGCACAGTGGCTCATGCCTGTAATCCCAGAACTTTGGGAGGCCAAGGCGGGAGGATCACCTGAGGTCAGGAGTTCGACACCAGCCTGACCAACACAGAGAAACCCCATCTCTACAAAAAATACAAAATTAGCCAGGCATGGTGGCACATGCCTGTAATCCCAGATACTCAGGAGGCTGAGGCAGAAGAATCGCTTGAAC